TTATAGTCCTAAGATTTTATAGTTTTCAGTGGATAAGGTTTTTTAAGTCTCTTCAGTCAAATTCATCCCTAAATATCTTTTTAATTTATTTTACTGGTATTTCAAGACAGGGTTTGTCTGTGTAACAGCTCTGACTGTCCTGGAACTCTCTTTGTAGACCAGGCTGGTCCCAAACTCACAGAAACCCACCTGCCTCTGCCTCCCGTGTGAGGGCTGAGACGAAAGGTGTGTCCTACCATTGCTCAGGATCCCTAAATATTTTTAATAGCTGTTGTAAATGAGATTATTGTCTTGATTTCTTTTTAAAAATTCGTTGGTATTTCACACATGTATGCAATGCATTTTGGTCCATTTTAATTCCCCACTACCCTTTCTCAGTACCTCCCATGATGTACCTCCCATGATGTTCCCCGAGTCTTAGGGGGTTTTGTTGTGTTCATTATCTTGTTTAATTTTCAAACTACACTTAAACACAGCTTCTTCCTCATTTAAACTACAATGAAATAACATTCAATATAGCTCTAACTTTGAGCCCCTAGTGAACACAATCTCTCTCCCTCCTTCCCCCTCTCTCTCATGCTCTCTCTCATGCTCTCTCTCATTCTCTCTCTCTCTCTCTCTCTCTCTCTCTCTCTCTCCTCTCTCGCTCTCTCTCTCACACACACACACACACACACACACACACACACACACACACTTCAAGTTGTCTGACAAGTTACGAAGTAGACAATGAAGTCATGACTGAAGGCACAGGTTCTGCCGTTTGAGAGCAGCCCGGCACACTGCTTTCCTATGGTTTCGTGGTCAATTTCCTTTCAAAAGTCTGTGTGCTAAAAGTTTGGGCCCCGGTGTGGTCCAACTAGGAGGTGGTAGAACGTCTCTCCTCCTCTGCTTCGTATTCCTCCGTTTCTCTCCATCTCTTCCTCCCCCACTTCTCCCTCCTTTCCACTTTTTCATTGTCAATGCTTCTCCCTCTTTTCTCCATCTTCTTCCTTCTGCCTCTCCTTTTCTTTTGGTTCCCTCCTTCTGCTCCTCTTCCTGAACAATGAGGTGAGAAGTTTGCTCTGCTGTGTGCTTTTTCCACTCTGAACAATGGGGTTTGGGCTGTTACATCAGCAAACGCAACCCTCGTGAGGTCACTGGGTCACTCAAGTCCATTCCAGAACCTCACCCCATGTGTCCGTTCTCTTGGCTAGCAATTTACATACAAAAAAATACCCTTTACTATAAACTGGTAATAGTTACTATAGCACTTCCATAAATTCTTATGAGATCATTTTAGAAATCATCAGTATGAGAATGGGGCCAGGGAAAGCCTGACTGATAGCCAATGAGAAATAAGCTGCAGGTGGCAGCTGGGATAGGGGCGGTCTTGGGAATAAGCCTCTTCCATACAGATCTGAATGGAATTCCTGGACAGCTAGTTGTATCAGGAGAGCTGGAGTGGCGGTGAGCTCAGGAGAAACAACAAATTCAGTGCCTGGAAGCGCGTGAGTGAAAAATCAATCATTTTTACATCCCGAAGATTTTATCCTATTTTTTTTAAAGATTTTACTTATTTATTACTTATACATGCTTGCATGACAGGAGAAGGTAACAGATCTCATTCAAGGTGGTTGTGAGCCACCATGTGGTTGCCGGGAATTGAAATCAGGACCTCTGGAAGAACAGTCAGTGCTCTTAACCACTGAGCCATCTCTAAGATTAGTATGGAGTTTGTTGGCTTGGTCCAGTTTAATTTTATCCTTATTTTATTTTCACATTTTTCTAGTTTGTTTTTGTTTCTTGAGTCAGGGTTTCACTATATAGCTCGAGGTGACTTCAAATCCACGATTTGCCTGCCTCCGCCTCTCTAGTCCTGAGATGATACACAACACCCAGGTAAGAGTAATAATTTTCGCTATTATATTTAAGCCTCTGACTCACTTTTGCTTTCTGTGCAATGTGTGAGGTTTATTCTCAGGCTCATGTTTTAAATTTTTAAAATTTGTGCCCGTGTGTTTGTGGAACATGGGGTGTGTGTGTATGTGGTGTATTTGTGTTTGTGGCATTTGTGTGTGTGTGTGTGTGTGTGTGTGTGTGTGTGTGTGTTATGTGTGTGTGTGAGAGAGAGTGTATGTGTGTGTGTGTTTGTAGCATGAGGGGTATGTGCATATGTTGTCTGTGTATGTTTGTCGCATGTGGAGTGGGTGTATATGGTGTGTGTATGCTTGGCTTGTGGGGTATGTGTGTATGTGTTGTGTGTGTGTGGTGTGGTGTTATGTATGGTAAGTATGCTACAGCACACACGTAGAGGTCAGACGACAACTTTTGGGAATTGGTTCTCTCCTTCCTCCATGGATTTTGGGGGCCACACTCAGGTCTCTAGGTTTATACAACAATCAGTTATACCCATTGAACCATTGTCCCCACCCATTAAGCTAATTTTCTGCCTGTGTAAATTTCATCACTGCAGCATCTCTTTTCTCAAATAACTTGCTTTTGTGCCTTTCCCCAGCCTCAGACATGCTCATGTAGATCCGGTTCTGTTTCCTTGACTGATGTGTCTGATACCCCATCAGTGCCATGGTAGCTTTAGTACTATCGCCACCTAAGTGTTAATTAATAGCTGGTGGCATGGCTCCTACTTTTTTTATTGATTCTTTGGAAGTTTCACATTATGTACCCCAACCCCACTCATCTCCCAGTCCCTCTGTATCTACCCCTCACTCTTTTAGTGTCCCCCACAATGGAAAGCTAAAAAGAATAAAAATAAGATAAAAATAAATAACAATAAAACAAAAAGGGGAAACACTGATTCTCCCTCTTTTCTGCCTCTCCATCTCTTCTTCATTCATCTCCCCCACACACACCTTTTTTTTTTTTTTTCTGTGGGTTTCTCTGTGTAGCTTTGGAGCCTATCCTGGCACTCGCCCTGTAGACCACACTGGTCTCAAACTCACAGAGATCTGCCTGCCTCTGCCTCTGCCTCCCGAGTGCTGGGATTAAAGGTGTGTGCCACTACTGCCTGCCCTTTTCCCTTTTTAAATTTAAATTAGAAACAAGCTTGTTTTACTCGTACAGCCACTTTGGAAATCAGTATGGCAGTTCCTCAGGAAAATGGGTATCAGTCTACCACAAGATCCAGCAATTCCATTCTTAGGCACATACCCAAAAGATGCACATTCATACAACAGGGACATCTGTTCAACCATGTTCACAGCAGCATAATTTGTAATAGTCAGAACCCGGAAGCAACCCAGATGGCCCTCAACTGAAGAATGGATGGAGAAAATGTGGTACATTTACACAATGGGGTACTACTCAGTGGGGGGGGAGGGAGGACGGGGGACAATGGAATCTTGAAATTCGCAAGCAGGTGGATGTCACTAGAAGAAACCATTCTGAGTGAGGTAACCAAGTCACAAGAAGACAAACATGGTATGTACTCACTCATACATGGATTTTAGACATTGAGCAAAGGATTACCAGCTTACAATCCACACCACCAGAGAAGGTAGGAAACAAGGAGGAGTCTAAGAGAGACATACATGGTCCCCCGGAAAAAGGGAAAGGGACAAGATCTCCTGAGCTAATGGGGAGCATGGGGGGAGGGGAGAGGGAGTTAGGAGAAAGAGAAGGGGAGAAGAGGAGGACATGAGGGAGAAGCAAGACTGAGTCAGGGGAAGAATAGAGGAGAGCAAGAAAAGAGATACCATAATAGAGGGAGCCATTATAGGTTTAAAGAGAAATCTGGCACTAGGGAAATGCCTAGTGATCTACAAGTTTGACCCCTACCAACAATCTAAGCAATAGTCGAGAGGCTATCTTAAATGTCCTTCTCTGATAATGAGATTGATAACTACCTTATATGTCATCCTAGAGCCTTCATTCTTCATTCATCTTAATGGCACTGGGAGCTACTATGTATTATGAAATATACCCTTTAGTCCAAAAAGCATTACTTGCAAATGTTCATTTTGTAATGAGTTGTTGGTCAGGTTCAAGGCCTCTGGCTTTGGTACATGATCAAAACCTGGACCTCCTCCCCCACCAACTTCCCGCTCATATCCTGCTGTTGCCCTGAGTCATGGCAATCCTGTGGCTATGGTTCTGCAGGACCAGTCCCTTCAAATACTCTAGCAGATCATAGATGGTGTAGATATTGGGGTGTGCCAACTACAAGCCTTGAATATGTGTCTGGGTGGCAGCTGAGTTGCTGAGTTGGTCGGTCCGGGACACTAGGACACTTTATTCTTTTCAAAAATTATCTTAGCTATCCTGAGCCCTTTACCTTTCCATTAATTAGAATAAACTTGTCTATGTTTTGCTGAGAATAACCCTAGAAGATTTTTATCTAGTTGGTTTAGAATAGATCTGTGACAGCAGTATTCAGAAAATGTCCCCGGGTGATTCTGAGGTAAAGCCAGCACGATGAACTTTGGTTTAAAGCAAGATATATGGGCATGAAAATGGCTGTTAGAGAATAAATAACTCAAGGATTGAAGCTTGAAAGAGTGGGGTGGGGCACTGGAGATATGGCTCAGTGGTTAAGAACACTGGCTGCCCTTTCAGAGGTCCCGAGTTCAATTCCTGGCACCCATGTGGCAGTTCAAAACTATCTATAACTTCCAGTTCCAGGGGAATCCATTGCCTTCTTCTTGCCTTTGGGGGCACTTTACTCATGTATATGTACCTCCCTACAAACACACATAATTAGAAAATGGGCCAAACAATGAAATTAGTTAATTAACTAATTTGTAAATGTTTATGAGCTTTGGTGTATTGCAGAGGTTAGAAGACAAACTGTAAGAATTCCTTCTTTCTGTCTACCATGTGGAACCTGAGGTTCAAATGGAGGTCTCCAGGCTTGGCAGCAAGTACCTTTACCTGCTGAGCCATCTTGCCCACCCTGTGCCATTGTTTCATGCCATTGTGAGGCAGGATAGAAACACAGGGACATCTTAGTACCTAGGGAGGGAAAGATGTCCCTCACCCTGTATCTGAGTGAGGACTCTTACCAGCTCAGAGGCAGGAATTCCAGCACAATTAACACTTGCTGTGAAGGCTGGCTGCATGTAGACAATACTCCTTTTATATGGATTTTCAAGTAAAACTGTTAAAATAGCAATGAATTATGCTTAAGGCCTAAGCATGTATGGCTTTTTCCCTTCTCAAGCTGTTAACCTGATGATTTCTAGGAATTTTTCGAGGACCCCCATTTACAGTAAAAAACACATCTTCATCTTCTTGTCCTACCTTTGTGACTCATGATTTAACAGGATCATATTGTAATTTTGTCTAAGGCTGAGCTATTCTATAACTTCATTTATCAAAAACTGGAACAAAGGAGAGTAAAGAGGAGTTTCTTAGAAAATCTTTGAAAATGTCAAGACTTGAAATTCCTATTCCAGCTAAGGCACCAAGAGCAACCTCTCTTGAGAAGCCACACTCACAAGCTTGGGTTGTGTTATCTTGTTTCTTTGAGCATCTCTTTCTTAACTGCCTTGCTTGGATCTATGCTAAAATCTCTTCCTGATAAGCCCCAAGTCTGCTTTGCACAGGCAGGTAGGACCCCAAATTGTTTTCTGTGGTACAGTCAAGAATCTAGTCTTCACCACAGCATGGAGTTGTGTTTGTAGTCCATGCTGGTGTCCTGTGATAGTGTATGTCTAACTTCAGGCAAGCTTCGGATGAGAATGTTTATAAGGTCAGCCCTGTTGGTGGAAGATGGGAATCTTCTGAAGGTCAAGGACTTTATTTATATTATCCCAGTCTCTGGAGATAAATATGTTCATTCTGCACATACGCAAAGAGGTGGAGTGGGTTGGGAACTTGCTCCAGTTCTGAAGCCTGCAAACAGTGAGAGTGGAGATATTCCATCACATGGTCCAAGGCCCTTGTTACGATAAATCTTTCTGCCAAAAGCCGCCGAGCCCCACCGCCATGTGTGAGCTTTACGACAGCCGCCTGCCCGAGTTGGGCCCAAATGAATACACAGAAACTTGTATTAGGTACAAAGCTGCTTGGCCAATGACTAGGATTCTCATCTGTTAGCTCAGTCTTAACTATCATAAATCTATATATGTTATAAGACTTATCTTATCGGACGCCTTATTGGCGTCCCTCCTTGCTGGTGGATCACATCGTGCCGCTGGAGCAGGAGCTGAGGGGAAAAGAGGGCCTTCCTCTTTCTCCTTCACTTAAGTATGAGTCTCCTTGCTGTGTCACTTCCTGCCTGGATCATCACTTCTCTACTACATTTCCCAGAATCCTCTTTGACTCCTAGTCCCGTCTACTTGCTGTCTCATTGGCCAAACAGTATTTTATTTAACAATCAATAAGATAAACATATGCAGTACATTCCCCATCAGGCCCTATTTTACTTTCACACACACCATGCCAAGTCTCATGATGTGGACTTAGATGAACTGAGTTGAGGACTTCCTGATATATCATATAGACTGTACTAGCTACTTTTCCCACCACTGTGCTAAAATATCTAACAGAAGCAACTTAAGAGAAGAGAGATTTGTTTTGTCTTGTGGTGAGGAAGGCATGGTGGCTGCAGGAACTCTGTTCATGGCAGTGGCGGCATGAAGCAGCTGATCATATGGTGATAGAGAGGAAGAAGAGAGAGCTTGGGCTGAAAGGAGGCTCAGCTGTCACCTTCAAAGGTCCCCAGTGACTCTCCTCAGTCAGCCATGCTTCCTACCCCAGTGATTCCATTATCAGCATAAATGATCCCACCAGCTGGAAATGAAGTGGTTAAATATTATAGCCCATGGGGTACATTTCACATTTCAAATTACAATACACACACACACACACACACACACACACACACACACAC